AATACTTGTCTTATACTATCCTGAGCTGTTAGCCCTCTCTGTTCAATGACATGGGCCAGATTTTCCAAATCCTTCAAGAAGGAGCACCTAGGCTGGCCACTTCTATGGGCAAACAGACGTCAGTTCTATGCAGTAACTTGGGATCAGGTGTCCAGGCAAGAGTCACCTCTGCACTGGAGGGGTGTGCCAGGATTGTCACGCCCCAGCTGGGGTTGAATGGGTCTATGACTCATGGGCCCAAGCTGAACTGTGCTGCACAGGTTGGCCCTCAACCTCAGCCCATTAGAACCTCGCTCATCACTGTGCTCAGGAACCCACCTCTACTCACCTTTCATGGCTGGACTTCTACCGGCCCCTGAGCTGTTAAGTGGGCCTCATGAATTCAGACAAACCCGACCATCACAGGTGGAGGATGGGGCTACCGGCCCTGGCTTTGCCTCCTCCAGCCCAGCGTCCCTGGGAATAATCCCATCAGGGGCCACTTACTGTGACATGTAACTTTTTTTTAAAGGAGAGAAGAACGTGAGATGCCTTAATCTTTTGTTCATTTCTACTGTATCAAAACTCTTAACCCCTCCCTTTTTTTCTTTTGTTTCCCCCTTTGCAGTATAACTTCTCTGATAAGCCCCAAATGAGTAGTTCTTTGATGAGGTTTATGATGTTGCAGGAAATGCATATTAAATACCTCTCTGCATGTGGGGTTTAGACATTAGGAAACAGATAGTAACGTTAAGAGTGTTCTCCCAGCAGCAAAGCCTGTCAAAATTGGTCACAGTGCTGGGGTCCTGGTCTCCCCCCCCCCCACCCCCGGAGGCTCAGGACTGAAAGGACTTGGTTCCTACGAGCAGTGACAATATGGGAGGATGATGATGGTCCCAAGTTACCTGTGACATGAACTCTGAATGGCAACTGGAAACTGTTCAAGATGATAGTCACTCAAGGGTGAAGGGCTGCATGTTTGAAGTGGCTGTCATACATGTAAACATGAGTGTTCATGTAGATACATGTGTGTCCACTTGGAGCCTCCCATTGCTCTGGCCATCCTACCCATGTCACTGGGTCCCCAGTGTCCCAGCTGTGATGTTGGGACCCTCACCTTTGAGAAGGCCAACAGTTGCCCTCCCAGGGGTATAGCCTCTGCTCCTGTTCGTACCCTAAGACCTTTATGAAGCAAACTTGGCCCCAGTGCAGAGGGAATGAAAGCCAACTGAGTACAGCTGCGCTGGGTGTTGTGGTTCCTGTGTCCCACACGTCATTTTCCTATGGACAGAAAGACATGGGGAGGAGTTTTCTATATAAATATTCTCATCACAGGGGTGTAAATCATGGAAAAGACGGTTGTTGCTGCTGCACCATTGGGTTTTTATTTGATGCCGAGTTATGCTGCACATGATGGTTGCCTAAAGAACTTGGACTGAGCATTTTTTTTTAAAGGACAGCTAAAGTTTTATAATCCTTAATGAAAGTGTAATAGAAAGTTACACTAGTGCAGGGTATTTGGAAGGTGGGGGTTTGCGGGATGGGTGGGTGGGGAGGTTGTCACTTGTATTTATTGTGACTCTAAATCTTTGATAATAAATGTAAAAGGTTGACCACGAAACCAGAATAGAAGTTCCAATAAACAGAGGCTGGAATCAATGGCTATACTTGTGTCATGAGGAAGTTTTAGAATCTGACGGAAAATAAAGAAATGGACAACATGTTGGGTGTTTATTTCTTTTGTCCCCTCAGCCCTGCTTTCCCTGCACTTATTTTTGTCCCAGCTTTGGGACAGCTTGGAGACTGGGGAAGGTGTAGCAGGGTGACCCCTTGTTAATGGGGAAACAATGAGACATCTGCTTCACGGGCTTCTTTCGGACTTAACTTCCAAAGGTGGCGGGAGTACTTCCCCAAACTGGGCACTGTGGTTTTGCTTCTGGGCCTCCCATCTTCACCAGAACCTGTGGCTTTGTGGCCTACTTATTCACAGCCGAGAGAAGTGAAAATCCAGTGGGTGTTGCCCATCCATTAGCTCTTAGTCCCTTCCAGCCTCCACCCCCCCACCCCCGAAGTGCTAAGTTTTTCTGGGCCAATTTTCAGGCTTGGCATCTGCATTGGGTGTCTTTGCTGCAGGACTTAGAACAGGTGCAGGTTCTAGCACTGATGGAGCTGCCATGCCAGCTATGAAATCAATTTCTGGTGAAAATTTGTTTTCAGATGTTGATGCACTGTTTGAAAAGTTATTGAGACCTGTGCTCACTGGTGAATTTTTTGGTAGTATTTTTTAAAAGATTTGTTTTAGAGGGGAAGAGAGTGCAAGCAAATGGGGGAAGGAGCAGAAGGGGAGAGACTGTCAGGCAGGCTCTCCACTGAGTGCTGAGCTTGAATCCCAATCCGGGGCTCCATCTCAGGACTCTGATCACAACCTGAGCCAAAACCGAGTCATATGCTCAACCAACTGATCCAGCCAGGCGTCCCAGTGACTGGTGAATTCTGATGTGCCTAAAATACAACTGTGTTTTCCCAGGTGCGTTCGTTCGTTCGTTCATTCATTCATTCATTCATTTTGCAGTTTCTCCTCTTTTTTGTTAAGACATTCCTGCTTCCAGCCTGGGGGTTGATGGTCCTCTCCAACCACCACACCTAACTACGTTTCACATGGACAAGGCACAGAACTGACAGAAGACATTACAGAAATTAAACCCAAACCTGTCCCAGTCTACCTGTGACATATCCTGACTGGTGCCCCATGCCCCACCACTGGCTGTGAGCAGCACACTTACGGGGCTCCAAATTCAGCCCTCAAGTGAGTTTTCACCGGGTTAGGCACAGGCTCCTCAACTGACCCACTGACTCAACAGGGGTGAGTGTCAAGCAGCTTCTCCAGCCAACAAATGGGACAACTGCCCCAATCCTTGAGGCCTTGTCCCCTCTGAACCGATCAACAGGTCTATGGCCATGGGGTAGGAAGAACCCAGGCCCTATTGCTCACACACATTAATCTACAAATAGAAAAAGGCACATACCATACCCAAGGCCCTAGGATTCCTTGTGACAAGAGCAAGGAGGGAAAGAACAGAGTGTCAGGGAAGAGATGACTTAAACCAAGTCTGGAATAAAGAAACTAGTAAGTGGCGCAGGAAATGGCAACAGCCAGTGCAAAGGCTCAGAGGTAAGACCAAACTTGTCGGGTCAAGGACAAGGCAGGCAGTGTGGCTGGGCCACAGGAAAAAGGGGTGAGGATGTGGGTTTCATTCTGAGTGTAGTGGGAGCCTCAAGAAGGCTCAGTGTGTGGTCTTTCAATGAACCACACAGCCCTTCCCTACAACCTGGAGGATAGATTCCTGCCTCCATTTTCCAGGTGCAGAGTCCACGGGATGGTCCAGACCAGAAGAGGCATCCTTCGTGTAAACCTGAGGGGTTGGGTTTTCTTTCTTGGCTCAGATGTGAACCAGCCAGGACAGGAGGTTAGTCACTTCCCCTCTCTTAGCCTCAGTTTCCTCATCTGCCTATTCAAAAGTGGTTAGGGAAGAGCTGGAATTTACTCCCCAGGGCACCTGAGAACACAAAGGGTGAGTGAGCAGGAGTGGGGAGTTACCAGAACCACAAGATGGCCAGCCTCCTTGGAGACTCTGTGGGGCTCCGACATGGGTAGAATTGGGGCTTAGAGAGACATCGTCAATGCACCCCAAGTGAGAGCTGCTGTCACCAAACCCACTAACTTCATTGCAACAAAATAATCCCCAATCTCCCCCAGGCCCTGTGGGGTCCCCTCTTCAGACATACACTTTTACCTCTTCACCTCTTCTTCCTCCCTGTCCATTCCCACTGTAGGACTTTTTGTGGCATTCCCCAAACACACCAGCTCCAGTGTATCTTGGGAACACTCAGAACATGTTCCTTCTGCTGTTTCTAGTGATTCTCTCAGCGTTAAGCTCAAATGTCTGTTTCCGTCCTTCCTTGGTCAACTGCCTCTCCCCTCGCCCAGCATTTAGCACAAATTACAATTCTTTTCTTTCCATGCTATTTTTACTTGACTTTTCACTGGTGTCCTCACTGAGGGCAGGAATAGATCCAACCTCATTGTGGAGTCCCAGAGCTTGGCACACAGTAGGCATTCAATAAATGCATGAATGAAGAGAGGACTGAAGTAACCATCTTGCCCAGAAGACTCATGCCCCCACTCTTTTGACTCTCACCCGCTAGACAACTTCTTTACCAAGGAAGGGCCCTTACTAAGGAGAGTTTCCACCACCTCCCCACCCCACTCCAGCCATATCTACTTTCAAATTCCAGATGTGTTCTTGGGCAAGTGTCACTTGTGTGAGCTTCAATTTCCTCATCTATAAACTCAGTTTCTGTTGATACAGCTCCCTCCCCCCCCTCCAACTCTGTTCCATTCTTAAACACGAGGGAGGGTGCTGGGATCCTTGCTCCCAGCCCTGCATCTCTATTCCCAGGGCCATCACGACCCCAGCACGACCCTTCGAGTTCTTTTGAGACTGGAGAGCCCAAAAGTTTAGTTTGAATCCTCCCAATTCCTTTTCGAGACCTAGAGCTAGAACCTCAATAAGTCTTTCTCTACAATGAGGCGCTACGCCTGACTTCCGCTGGGGGATGACCTCCCACCCCTCCTTGGTAAAAGGGGGCCATTGCTAGAGGCAGGTGCGAGGAAGAGCGAGTTTATTGCAAGTTCCAAGGAGGCAGCGCTCGGACCGTGCCTTCCCCACCAGCATGCGCGGGTGACTAGAGAAGGACGCCCTCCACATGCGTCCATTCCCTGGCAGCTCCTCCAGGTATCCACCGCCTGCCCACAACCATCGCTCATTCCGCGCTGGCGCAACGCTTCCATTTCTTCTTGTCCCTTCCCCTCCCGAGGCCTTCTCTTGGGGAACAGAGGAAGCGCTTGCGCCCTCCTGTTCTCGGGATCCTGGGGAGAGGAGCTAGATTCTAAACAGGGGCGACTACGGCCCCAGGTATCCAGAGTCAGGATAAAGGGGGAAGTGCGCGTGCGCAGTGGCGCGTGTCGGCTTCGCGAGAGTACGAAGCGCGCTTTGTGCGCATGCACTGCGCTTGCGCAGTGCTCCGGGCGGCGGGAATGGTGGGAACCCCGGCTTCTAGCTGGAGTCCCCAGCACGCAGCCAGCCGTTGCGTGCTACCTGGCCCGCTGAGGGCCTGGCAGATGGGCTGAACTGCAGCAATTCTGCGATCAGGGCCTTGCAGCGCTCCGACAGCTCGAGGCCATCGGGGTAGAGGACGCCGCGCTTCTGGCGCCTTGGCAGACCAGCGATGTCCGAGTCGTCGAAGGGCATGCACCCGGTGACCATGACGTAGAGCACGACGCCCAGGCTCCACACATCGTACTTCTTGGGGTCGTATGGGATACCCAAGAGTACCTCAGGAGACGCGTAGGCGGCCGAGCCGCAGTAGGTAGTGCTCAGGTCAGGATAGCCGTGTGCCTGGCGACCAAAGCCAAAGTCAGTGAGCTTCACGCGGCGCTCGTCGGGGCTCAGCAGCACGTTTTCGCACTTGAGGTCACGGTGCACCAAGTGGTGGTCATGCAGGTAACGCACAGCCCCAGCGATCTGCGCAAAGAGGTCGCGCGCCTGGCTCCCGGGGATGCGCCCGTTGCGCTGCACTGCCTGCAGCAGGTCGGTGGCAGCCGCCTCCATCACGATATAGAGCTTCCCATTGCATACCTCGATGAACTCGAAGACGTGCACGATGTGCGGGTGTCGCACGCCTCGAAGGATGGACAGCTCGCGTGGCAGAAACTTGTTGACGAAGTCGGGCGGCGCGCGCCGCCGGTCCACCACCTTGATGGCCACTGTGCCCTTGTATTTCTTGGACGTGGCCACCTTCACCTTGGAGTAACTGCCCTCGCCTATCGTGCGTCCCAGCTTATAGCCGAGTTCGCTCAGAAGTTTGTCGCCCGACATGGTGGCGCCTGGGGCGCGTGGGGAGCAGGAGGCGGCTGCTGTCGGGGGGCGGCCGGACTCCAATCTCGGGCCTAACCCATGGCGCTTGGCACCTGCACACCCGCACCCCCATGTGCCCACTCCCGGGTCCCCGCCGCAGAGGTGCCTTTTATTGCCCAGGTAACAATTTCTGCCTTGTGAAGTGACCACGGGCGTCACCCCGCCTCTGGGTGGGGGCCCCGTGGACCCCGCCCCACGGGGCCCCCCAAGGCCATCAGGCTTTGTGACTCATAATCGCTCTGAATGGCCCAGTTCACATGAGAGGCTATTAGCAAGGGGTCCCGACCACCACTCGGGAGCAGAATCCGTGCCTGGCGTTGGGGTGGCTCCTCATGACTCGAAGCTGAGCAGCAGTCGCCCCCCAGCTTTGTGTACCCGGCCCTGGCCATGTGGAGCCTTGGGACGCCCGCAAAGGGGAGAAAACGAGAGAGGGAGTTTAACTTGGTAACTCGGTGACCCGGCTCCCTCAGGAGCTTGGGGTCTCTGAATGGCCTCAGGACCACACCAGAGGAAAGGTGTACGGGAGGTCCTTTAGGGCAAGAACCCGGGCGACCAGACGGGCTACAAGCGTCTACACCGACGGAACCAAGCCCCGTCTAAGAGAAAAGATAGGGAATCCTCGGCTGCAGCCCCGCCGCCCAGTGGAGTCCTGGACCTATTGCCCAAGCTCTCCTTCACCATGGGATAGCTACACTAGCGTCCCAGATGCCCTAGTCCCGCCCACGACATGCGCGGTACTTTCAGCCACACTCATCATGGCGACGGCCTCCGGACGTAACTTCCGCCCGCGGCCGGAAGTTGGGATCCTGTGAGCATGGCAGCATCGAAGGTGAAACAGGACATGCCCCCGCCGGGGGGCTATGGCCCCATCGACTACAAGCGGAACCTTCCGCGTCGGGGACTGTCGGGTCAGTGTCGCAGTACGCCGGGGTGTCAGAGTTGGGGCTTCGGGACGCCGCGACAGGGGTGGGAGGGGTCGCCGGGGAGTCTCGCGGGTCTCAGTTTCCGCCGCGGTGTGACGGGAGGCGGAGCCCAGGCATCCCCGATGGCTTCAGTAGTGAGGAGAGTAACTGCTGGAGTTTGTCGAACGCTTACTGAGCTTTGTTTTCTTCACAGAACAGTCTGGAAGGTCGGTCCCCTTAATCCTTTCCATTCTGCGATTGGTTAGATCAATGTAACTCGTGCCCCGAGCCCTCGGCCACACTTCCGTTTCATAAGTGGGGAAACTGAGGCCCGAGAGAGGCTGCTACCTGCCCCGACGGCCACCCAGTGTAAAACTCATGCTGAATCCGGAACATTAAGGGAGTTTAGGTGTTCCTCCCTGTAGTATCTACCCGCGGATGTCCCAGGAATGTGTATTCTTAAATTTTTCAAAATGTTTTAAGTAACATTTAAAAGTTTGCTATTGGGCTCAACACAGAAAAATGTAAAAGAAAAAAAAAGTAGAAGGGGCATATACTTTGCACCTAGGGTTAACAGAGATACAAAATTTTAAGCATGAATGCATTTCCCATAACTCGTCATACTTTACATTTATTATTATGCACATGTGCCTCAATTTAAAAAAATATACAGGCATGGTAAAGAAAGAATTCAGACTGTGGGAAAGTATCAGGGGGAAACTCAAGCTCTTCCCAGCCCCTCGGCTTTTTTCTCAGAACAGCAGTTGACAGACTACTATAAAGGGCCAGATAAACATTTTATGCAGATGGTCTCTGTCCACTGCTGCTCCTTTATTTATTTTTTTAAGATTTTATTTATTTATTAGAGGGAGAAAGCAAGCATGAGAGAACGTGAGCAGGGGCAGGGGTAGAGAGAGAGGGACAAGCAGACTCCCCACGAAGTGGGAAGACTGTAGTGGGGCTCAGTTCCAAGACCCCCAAGATCACAGCCTGAGCTAAAGGATGCTTAACCAACTGAGCCACCCAGGCGCTCTTCCGCGGCTGCATTTTCACAACTGTTTACCAACCTAAAAGTGTTCTTAGCCCGAGGGCTGTTACAAAAACAGGCTTGACTCATCCCAGAACACACTGAATGAAAATGTGATCTGAATCTCTGCAATTTCTTTTCTCAAAGTGTGACTTAACACCCAGGCCAGTGTGCCCATCACATGTTCGGCTTGAGGTCTGTTGATACATGTGCACCTGTGTGACCTGTACCCAGACCAGACTGCAGAAGGGTCCCAGCCCATGAGCCTCTCTGGGCTCCTCCTAGTCAGCATGTCTCTTTTTTAAGTTACAGTGTGCCCTTAATCCCAGTCCTCTTCCAGTTCATGACATGGTAGTGTCTCCCATGTGCCATCTAGACCGTTATCTAGGGTTGGGCTTCCTAGTTGCACCCCTTCACACCAGCTTGCATTGTAGCATATACAGACCTGCCCCCTGGCTACAGTGGGGTGAGGAGGAGACCCCTTCTGGTGGCGTGGTCTTTGTTCTGTCCCTGCATTCAGTAGTTGCTTGTTGAGTATGCATGTGGCACTGAGTCCTGTCTGGAAGAGCTCACAGCCTCGCAGAGGAGATGAATGTGTCACACCAGCATTTCCTATTTTGGCAAGGCTCCAGCTCACCAGGGTCCATTTTAGCCAGGGTGGGCTGGAAGGACTTCTCCGAAAGTCCCTTAAGTGGAGGGAACAGCAAGTGCAACAGCCCTGCTTTCCATCCTGCACCCCGTGCTAATCATCTGTCCTGTGCCCTCCTCCAGCCTTGCACTCGAACCATATGTCCCCATGGCCCTCTCCCCATTAGTCCTACCCTGCTCTGCTCCTGTAAGGCACACAAGCCTGGCATCCACTCCCCTCTTCTCTGCCCAGATCACTCACCCCTAGCGTCCTAGAACCAGCAGAGCTGGCTCAGACCACCTTTAATCCCCACTGCTCCTGAAGTGACTGCTACCTCCATCTTTTCCACTCATTTCTCTTCTCTCCATTGTGCCCAGGGGGTGGCCCTTTCTTTGTTTCCCTTGAGTCTTTAACTTTTTTTTTTGAAATTCACAGACCATACCATATAATTCACCTATTTCATGCGTACAAGTCACAGATTTTTAGTCTGTTCACAGTTGCATAACCATCACCAGGATCTAAATTTATAACACATCTGGGGCACCTGGGTGGCACAGTCGCTTAAGTGTCTGACTCTTGGTTTTGGCTCAGGTCATGATCTCAGAGTCATGGGATCAAGCTCCGCGTGGAGCTCCACCATCACGGGGGGTCTGTTTGGGTTTCTCTCTCTAGCCCGTGCCTCTCCCCCTGTGTGCGTGAGCACATGCGCTCTCCCTCAGATAAACCTATAAATAAATCTAAATAAGTAAATAAATAGATAAATTTATAACAGTTCCATCACGCCAGAAAGAACCCCAAATTCATGAGGTGTCACTCCCCATCCTCCCTCTCCCAAACCCTGGCAACTAGCAGTCTGTTTTGTGTCTCTATGGATTTGCCAGTTCTGGATGTTTCATGTAAATGGGCTCCTATTCTATGTGGCCTCTGGTGTCTGGCTGCTTTTATTCAGCAGGACGTTTTTAACGTGCATGGTGTAGCATGTCTCAAAGCTGCTTTTTTTTTTTTTTTGGTTGAATAATATTCTTGTATGAATGGACCACAATTTGTGTATCCATCTACCACTTGATGGACATTTGAGTTGTTGCCACCTTTTGGCTGCTGTGAACATTATCGTGCAAGCTTCTATGTGGGTATATGTTTCGGTTTTCTTGCGGGAAAATTTCACCTAGCAATAGCATAGCTAGGTCATATGCTAACTCCACATTTAACGTTTTGAGGAACTGCCAAGCTGTTTTCCAAATTGGCTGTACTGTTGTACATTTCTTCCTGCATTTATTTTACGGGATTTCCAATTTCTCCACATCTGGACAACACTCATTATTTTCCTTTTTTTAAAAATTCTAACCATCCCAACGGGTGTGAGGTGTCTCATTGTGGTTTTGATTTGCATCTCCGTGGTTACTCATGATGTTGAGCATATTTTCATTTGTTTCTAGGCCATTTGTATAGCTCTTCGGGAGAAATACCATCCAAGGCCATTGGATTGGGTCATTCAACTTTATTATTTCTTTTTAAATTTTTTTTGAGGGAGATAGTGTGCAAGCGCAGGGTGGGTATGGGGAGTATCTTAAGCAGGCTCTGTGCCCAGCGTGGATCCTGGTGCAGGGCTTGATCCCATAACGCTGAGACCATGACCTCAGCCAAAACCAAGAAGGGGGGATGCTCAACCAACGTAGCCACCCAGGTGCCCCAGGGTGTTCATCTTTTTTATTACTGAATTTACAGAATTCTTTATACATTTTGGTTACCATTCCTTTATCAGATAGAGGATTTTCAGAGACTTGTCTTCCATTCTGGAGGTTGTCTTTCCAGCTTGTTGGCGGCATCATTTGTAGCACAAAAGTTTTTCATTTCAGCGAAGCCCAGTTTGTCTATTTTTTTTTTCCTTTTGTTACTTGTGCTTCTGGCGTCCTAGCTAAGAAGCCATTGCCTCATCCAAGGTCACAGAGACTGACTAATCTGTTTTCTAAGAGTTTTATAGTTTTAGCTCTCAAATTGAGGTCTTTGATCCATTTTCAGTTAATTTTTGTGTATGGGGGAAGGAAAAAGCACACTTTATTCTTTTGCATGTGGCTGTCCACTTATCCAATTTGCTGAAAGACTATTCTTTCCCCATTGAATTGTCTTGGCACCCTTGTCCAGAATCAATTGACCGTAAATGTGAGGGTTTATTTTTGGACTCTCAGCTCTGTTCCATCGATGTACATGTCTATCCTGATGCCATGCCACACTGTCTTGTACACACAGCTGTGTGTGAAGTCTGAAACTATGAAGTGCGAGTCCTCCAACTTTGTTGTTTTTCAGAATTGTTTTGGTTAATCTGGGCCCTTGAATTTCCATATGAATTTCACAATTGGCTGTTCAGTTTCTGTAGGGCAGGTAAAGGGGGAAGGTTGGGATTCAGATGGGACCCCATTGAACTGGTACCTTCGTTTGGGTCGTGCTGCCATCTGAACAAGGTTAGGTACTGAAACTGAACACAGGATGTGGCCTGCACCCACTCCTGGGCGTGACCATAATCAGCCTCCCCCACCGGACTGACAGGTCCTGAAGCACAGACCCATGCTGAGGGTCTGCAGTCTCAGCCTCTCCACTGTCAGCAAGAAAGAGCCGCATGTTCGTAAAGGCCATTTTTGTCTTGGAATTGATCTTACATGTGGGCCCACATATGGGTGCCTGGTGCGAAGACAAGGGGTCTCCATGAGGGTAGCCCAGGCCTATGCCCTGGGGCTGGGTCAAAAGAAGAGGATCCCGGGGCTTCTCTATAGCTACTGAAAAGAAAGAGGCAGCTCTTCTAGGATGTTCTGTCGAGGACAGGTGGTCAGCCATGTGTAAGAGCCATAATTGCATTGGGAGCTGGTCCTAGGCACTCGAGCCTCCCAGGAGAGGTTCTCCCTCTGTGCATAGGAACCAGGGTGCCCTCGTTGTCCTGCCCCCTGTAATATGGAAATGTCTTACTCTGAGCTCATGTTTGTTTTTTGTTTTGCTTTTTAAAGATTTATTTATTTATTTATTTGGGAATGAGAGCACGAGCCTGGAGGGAGAGGCACCTGATGCGGGGTTCGATCCCAGGATCCTGAGATCGTGACCTGAGCCGAAGGCATACGCTTAACCAGCTGAGCCCCTGAGCTAATGTTTTTAACAGGCTTGACTGAGGAGCTGAAAAATCTAACCAGTTTCTTATGCATCTCTGGGTCCAGCAAAGGTGCCAGAAAAACCATGTGCTGAACTGAGCTGAAGAAGAAAGATGAGGACAGGGACAGCAGAGGCTCCCTGCAGGCTGCGAGCAGGGCCGGGACTCCCAGAGCCCCTTTGCCCCCCCGCCCCCAAATCCTAGGGAGTGGCCTCATCCACCATTTGCTGGTCATTTCCTGAGTGTTAACTTGAGCTCAACCTGGCCGAGCTTGTCCGTTTTTCCCAGCAACCATGAGGCCCATCCCGGGAAGAGACCACAGCTTGAAAGATTAGAGGTTATGGGGTGAGCTGGCCCCAGCCAGGCCACAGACAGCTAGGGCCTCCATGAAGACCGCAGCAGGCCCACAGCCTGTCCATCAGAATTACAGTGCAGGTGCCTGCTGGTGTCAGTAAATATTCATGGCAGCCTCTGTCCCCTGGTGCCCAGGCAGGGGGCTCTACCTGCTGGGCCAGGAGGCAGCACGTCAGGGAGCCCATGGGCTGCTGGGTGGGCCCCACAGAGCACTGCCTGCCTCCCGCAGCCCATCCAGCCCCCTCTGGGCAGCACTCAGAGGAGTGGCCCAGGCAGCCAGGCGCCACCGTGGAGCTGGACCCAGCAGTAGACACCATCCTGCCCCGTGGAAGCACCCGCCGACTGGGAGCCAAGCAACCTTCCACAAGATCGTGGGGTGGCGGCCACCCAGCCATGAATAGCAAGACCTCGGGCTCTCTTGCAGTCCCTGCCCACACTGTACCTTCTGGAAACTGTCCCATGGTGGGCAGAGGTGTGGCGGCTGCAGCTGCCTCCCTTCTCAGAGAGAAGCTGAGGCAGCCTGGAGTCCCTGCCCGCAGGCTGGGGAACGGACTGAAGAGTGGTCTGCAGTTTTGGAGGAAGGGGTCCAAGGGAAGGGGCCGGTGGACATTCCATGGGGACAAGAAAATAATAATCTGAGGAAATATGCACTAGAGACAGTACTGGCCATCTCTAGGAGAAGGTCACTAAGACTTTGACCTTCTCCTGCGTCAGTGTTTCTGGTGTGTTTGCACGGCAAGTGGAGTGCACGTCCCGGGAAGAAGCTGCAGAGAGCGGCCTGTCCCATGGGCGGGCGCTGACTGGCGGCCTCCCCCCCCACAGGCTACAGCATGTTCGCTGTGGGCATCGGGACCTTGCTGTTCGGGTACTGGAGCATGATGAGGTGGAACCGCGAGCGCAGGTAGGCCCCAGGCCTCCCCGGGCGGGATGCCCCTGGTACCCGTGGGGCCCTTTCTCAGCCCCTGGGGACTCAGGAAGTGGGGACCCGGACTGAGTCCACTTCTGAGCTTTCCACTGAAGAAAGGACTCGTAAGCAAGGAGCTCTTTGCCAGATGTCCCTTGGCCTCCGCTGCTCAGGAACCGAGGGTCTGGATTAGGATGGCGCATCAGGTGGAGGTGGATGGGTGGGCCCAGGACGTGTTCTCCTAGTGCATTTTTGCCAGTGGTAACCAGGCAGTGAGGACAACAAAGGCATAGATGTAGTTGTGCCAGCACGTGGGACCAGAGGCACCAAGGCAGAGGGTGGCCTCCGTTCGGACTCTGGCTGCTGCCTCTCAGCTGCTCTGCCTCACCCTACCCCGGTGTGCTATGTGTCCTCAGCACCCCCTTGAGGTCACCCGCCCCCCACAAGTCTGGGAGTCCCTGAGGGTAGTGCTGGAGAAGGCCCCCATGTGTCAGGTACTCGGCGTGGGGTACACTCAAACCAGGTCCGGCTCCCCAGGACCACGTGCAGAGGTCTGGCCACTGGAGTGACAACTGTGTGGCTGTGGTGGGGGCGTCTGCTCCTTTGGGTCTGGAGGAGGGGAGGGGGGACGCTGACGCTCATCCACACCCTTCCCTGTATGGCTGTGAGATTCCTGGTGATGAGGGGCAGGGCCAGGGGCCACCTGCTGGGCCACATCGCTGGGTGCCACTCCCGCAGCATAGATGTGGCTGGTGGCTCAAAGACACGGAGCTGTCTGCCCTGGGCTCACACTCCAGGGTTATTTTGACATGAAAAGGATATGGTTTTGAAGGCCCAGAGTCTGGCGATGAACGTCCCATCCCCCGTCCCTGGTTCACCACAGTCATCAGGCCAGGGCTATTTTTAGGATTAAGAAATAAAGTTTTTAACTGGGAAGAAAGTGTGAAGCCAGCATTCTTGTGGATCAGTGCCTGTGCCAGCTGCGTGCCCCCCCCCCCGCCTCTCATCCTGTGGCAGGTAGAGCTTACTGCCAAGCCCTGCCACACTCACTTGCCTCTCCTCCAGCCCCCTTTCCCACGTGTCACCCTGTGGGGCTGAGGCCACGTCTGCCCCCAGCTCCAGCCTGATCTAATCTGTTGGTTCTCGGGTTTTGCAGGCGCTTGCAGATTGAGGACTTTGAGGCCCGCATCGCGCTGATGCCACTGTTGCAGGCAGAGAAGGACCGGAGGTGGGGCCACTGGGACCAGGGTTGGAAATTCGCAGGCCTGAGTGTCCCGTGCTGCAGTGCAGGACCTGGCCGGAATGCATATGGGGACTGACAGCTGTGTCCTTGCATACATGGGGCTGCCGTCACCCTTGGAGAGGGCCCCAAACTTGACTTAAAGTGGGGACCCAAGGGACAGAATGGGAAGGTTCCCTGGAGGAGGAGACATTGAGGTTGCAGCAGGAGGACAGTAAAAGTTTGTAGGGGGAAGGAAGGGACAAGAGGAGATAGCATGTGCAGGGTTGGCAGTGGCAGGAGGTGATGGGGAATGGAACAGGGAGGGGCCCTTTGGGGTGCTCAGGCCTGTCCCCCACCTTTCATTTCATCCCTGCAGGGTCCTGCAGATGCTTCGAGAGAACCTGGAGGAGGAGGCCATCATCATGAAGGATGTGCCCGACTGGAAGGTGGGTCCTGGGCAGGGAGGGCGGGGGTGCTGGCCCCCGCAGAAACACAGCCCCCCATGGGAAGCCTGAGGCTGAGAGGGGTCCTGGGGGCCAGGCATGAGGAAGGGGAGACAGCAGCTTTTGGTGTAGACACAGTGGCCACCAGGCCTAGTGGGGTCCCCCTAGGCAGTATGGGCCTGAGGGGGTAGCTGCACCCCCACTTACATCCCGCCGTCTCCACAGGTGGGTGAGTCTGTGTTCCACACAACGCGCTGGGTGACTCCCGTGATGGGCGAGCTGTATGGGCTGCGTACAAATGAAGAGATTGTGGACGCCACCTATGGCTTCATTTGGTACACGTAGGGGGCCGCTCCCCTTGGACCGCTTGGACCCCTGCACCCTCCCCACTGGGAAAGAATAAATGCTCTGGAGACCTGCCTGCCTGTGTCCCAGCGACTGAGTGACTGGCGAGTGGGGCCCCATTGGTTTACACATGGCCTGGGGACACAGGGTCTAAACCTGGGGACTCTGCAGAAGTTGCCAGGTGGGCTGGCCCCCCAACCCCGCACCCTGGGCACATCAGTGAGTGGGGGACCTAAAGAACAGAGCACTGGACGGAGGGGCGCCAGAGGCGAGGCCCCTTGCTCCCAGGCTGGGACCTGTCCAGACTTCGTTTCCTTCCATTCCCAAGGCAGCTCCACTCCTGGCACGAAAGGGTTAAGTCAGCCTGCGCCCTCCAGCCAATGGCCGCGCGCAGCGCCTTTGCGGTGCCGCCTGATTGGCAGATGCACGGGGTGGGCGGGGAGGAGCCCCAGTGCCCTGGGATGCTCTTAAAAAGCTGTGGCTGTGGCCGCCAGGGCTCCGCGCACCAGCTCACCTTGGCCATGAGCAGCGCGGCCCGCCCGGACCCAGCGGAGGCGCCCGAGGAGCGGCATTTCCTCAGGTCAGCCAGGGATGGGGATGCCAAATACCGTGCATGACAGGGATGCAGCCTGGAGCCATGGGCATCATGGGCAGGACATGGCTGGGAGGGGGAGGTTCTCGGGCTGGATGGATCAGAGGCAGGGGCATGGCCAGGAGGGGGCCTGGGGGTTTCCAAGGCCCCCCCTTTTGCTGGAGAGAGGAAGCCTCCAGCCCACTGCTGCCAACGCCTCCTAAGTTTCGTTGCCAGGGAAACTGCATCTGCCTCAGGCTCACCCCTAAGTGAATCATTCAGCAGCACCGCTAGAAGCTCTCCCATCACCCCTCAACTCAGTCCAGGCCCACCGCCCCTTTCCATCCGTCCTGGAGACCCTGGAGCGCCCACCCTTCCTTCCGAGCTGGGAAGAGCTGAGGTCTTAGCTCCTCAAACGTTCACACCCCTCCTGGTGGCCCACCTGCTACTGTCTCCTGGACCAGAGAAGGAAACTGAGTCCTGGGGACGGAAACCACTGCCTGAGCCAAGGCTAGGGAGATTTTTGAATGCATGGGCCATTTACCAGTAGTTTGCTTGGATTTGGGGTCTCTAGCTGGCAGCTGTGGCTGTGTCTCTCACCTCATCCTGAGTTATGTTGTGTCCTCCTTTAAGGCCCTGCGATCTGGGACTCCAAGCAGGGCTGTGGACCTCAGTGTAAACCACTCACAGCACATTCATCTGACATCCCCTTGTCTGTCCTTCTCTGCCCACTCTCCACTCATGCCCTCAGGGCAGATCTTGTCCAGTGACTGGCTGATGTCCAGATTGAGCCTGTAGACCCAGCACATCCTAGACAGAAGGAAGCTGGAGCTGTGATTTCACCTGGCGTGGGGGATGGCCGGGCCAGTTGTGCAGGGTCTCAAAGGCCAACTGAGGAGTGATGGGGCACTGTGGGTGGGTAGGAGTGGAACGTGGAGAGCACGGGGAGAGGAGACAGGTTAGAAACATAATGGGTGCGTAGGTGTAGTGAGGAATTTGAATATTCTCTGAATATTGGGGAGCCAAAAGCAGGTTTGAGGCAAGTGGTGATGTGATGGCATTTAGGTTTTCAAAGCCCCCATGGCTCTTGTACCGAGGAGGAGTTTGGGGGCCGGGAGACTTCTGTAGGCAGCCAGGTGAGCAGTGGTGGTGGGCTGGTGGGCAGAGGCCCGAAGATGGAGAAGCAGATGGAGCCAAGAGAGCAGGGAGGGTCTGCCACGGGCAACCAGGCCCCAGGGCTTCACCTCCAAAAGAGCCCACTCCTGGAAGCATTTTGGGAGAACAGGCCCAGTTCCTTTGAAAGCAAGTCACCTTCTTTGTGCTCTTGGGGAAATCCTTACAGTTCCTTTCATCTGGGGACTGACATCAGGAGAGTGAAGAGGCACTTCATAACCAAGCCTTCCACCTCTGGCCAGTCCCACAGTGGCCTGGCCCTGTCCCCCTCCCCAGACCTGCCCTAATTCCCACTCACACCCCACCCAGAGCTGCCAGCGTCCCCACCCCCAGGCTCCTAGCCTGGACCATCCTCCCCATTATCACTCTAATGATCAGTTAGGCAGGAAGATAATGTTCCAAGTGGTGGCCTGAGGCCAAAGCTTCGGAACAGAGGAAGAGGAATGGGTAGTGCTCCCACGCTCTCATCTTCCCCTCACCCTCCTGTGGGGGCAGCAGGCAGAGCTGTCATGGATGAAGGTGGAGGAATGAGCCACATTTCCAAACACACCTTCTCCAGTGTTCTTTCCTGGGAGCTGGGCCAGCCTGCTCTTCATCTGACCCACCATCCTTTTCGCCAACTGGTCCTCCAACCTTACCTGAAGTCAGGTGGGGCTGAATCTGGCTCTGGTGGGCTGGGGTGACTCAGGGCATGTGTCCTTCCTGCCCTAAGCCTCAATCCACCTCATGTGCACGGGCCCCCAAAGTGTCTTTCTGACCCAGTTTCTTAGTTTCCCTTGCTCGGCTCCAGCCACACTGGCCTCGCTTCTGTCCCTTCCATCTGCCAAGCTCATTCCCATGACAGGGCCTTGGCCCTCACTGTTCTTGCATGTGAGTTACCTCCCATAGTGCTCCAGGCCACCACCTCCAGGAAGCCCACCCCGAGTCCCCCTCCCGCAGCAGTCTCCATTCCTTACCTATGCCCCTCCGGCTGCCCGGCCTGATCAGGCTGCAAAATTGGCGGGAATGTTGTGGTCTCCTGCTCATAGAATTGAAGGAATCTAAAGATTCATCCCAAGAAACCTCTGCTATCTGTAGGTCTGCCTCTGCTTCTTTGCTCGTACCCTGTATGGCTCTGGAAACAGACACCAAGGGTAGAAGTGTGCTTTCTCACTTGCTTCCTGCAGGACCCTGGGCAAGCCACTTGGCTTCTCTGAGTGGTTGAATATTTTCCAGGCCTGTCTATTAGTGCTGCTGCTGCTGCTGCTGCTGCTACTACTACTGCTAGGGCCTGCTGGGCTAGGGGTAGGTGCTCTACCCCAGCACGAAAGAGTCCCGCTAGGGGAAGCTGGCATCAGGCCATAAACCCTGCCCAGCTGTCCCAACCCCTGATTCTGGAGTGAGGACCATTTCCACTCTTCAATGCCAGGTCTCTCTGCAGCTCTCTCTACAGCCACTAAGCCCATGCCCTTTGGAAGGCCCCTAAGCCAGGGCTAGCTTGGTCCTTGCTCTTGGAAGAGTCCAACACTTGGCTGTCATTATCTTAAAATTCTTAAGTAATGGGACCCGTGTTTGCATTTTGAAATGGGCCTTGAAAATTATCTAGCCTACCCGGTCTTCACTTTTGCAAAAGAGAAAGCAAAATTCAGATGTGACATCCCAGTCACTTAGGGAGTTGATGGCAGACCTTCACCTCCAATGAGGAAGCCCCATCTCTCTGGCCACAATTATTGAAGGGTCACCAATAGGTCTGATAGCTGGGGGCTCCCCATCCCCCCTCCCTAAGTGAGCCATCTAACTCCACCTCCCTCAGGCACCTCCTCCCCCAGCCCAGTCGGCCCCTTCCAGTATTCTGGAGTTTGCTTAGTGTTTTCCCCTGCATGAAACTCGTCCATCACCCTCATCTGTCTCTCCCGCCGCATTCCTCCTTCTGGGTTCTTCTCGCGGCGGCGGGGGGGAAAGGGTGGGGAATGGACGCGGGCGGGGGGCGCATCTGGGCGGAGCTGCAGTCTCCAGCTTTGGGGCTGTAGAACAGGCGCCACCAGGCGTTCCTCGACCACCAGAGGGCGCCCGTACCTTGGGCTTCGGCTTAAACCTCCCGCAGATCCACTCTACCGCATGAATATCTAATGGAGAAACTGAGGTTGGAGGTGGCTCTAGGCCCTGGTTGGGAACGTTGGTGGAACGTTACTGGTTCCATCCGAGCCTCTCTAAGTCTTTCTCTCTGTGTGTCTTTGAGCGTCTCTGCCCACTCTGTCCCCCAGCACTGCGGAGGCGGCCGCCCTGGAGCGCGAGTTACTGGAGGATTACCGCTTTGGGCGGCAGCAGCTGGTGGAGTTGTGTGGCCATGCTAGTGCTGTGGCTGTGACCAAGGTATCTGACCCCTGATCCTTGACCTTGACCCCATCCAGATGGCCAGCTTCCCCTAGAGCCGAGGCCTAGCTAGCTGCATGACCCAGGTGGCCAGAATGGTTCAGGAAGCCCCTTTTTGTGTGGAGCTTCTCCAGCCCATCACTTAGATGGGGAAACTGAGGCCTGGAGAGACTCATCGCTGGTCTAGAAGGCAGGGGCCCAAGACCCCAGTGTCAGTGAGGGTCAGGGCAGAGATAGGAGTCCCCAGAGACTCGGAGGCTGAGGCTGCGGCAGGATGCTCCTGGGTCCCTTCGTGCCCACCCGCCTCTGCCATCTCCTGGATCTCAGTAAGGGACACGTTGGTTCCTGCAGGCGGAGTGCTTCCAAATAACCCCATGCTGCAGATGGGGAAACTGAGGTCCAGATGCAGGGAGTGGCCTGCAAAGGGTAGGTCCCAGGGGGTAAGTAAGCAGAGCTGTCTGGATCTGGGGCAAAGCCCCAGTTTTGAGGTGCCTCCAAAGGACACGACAGTAATAAGTGATGACGATGCTGCCTTCCAGTGCTTTTGGCCACGGGTGTCAAACCGCGGGCCTGTTTCCTCCAAAACAAGCGAAATAAACTGACACCAGTTAATAAACCCAAATGCCTTAGAGAAGTGCCCGGTGGTGTCGGGGCTCCAGCACGTAACCTTTCTCTTCCTCCAGGTCTTCCTCCCCTTCTTGTCACCACTGCCGACTTTGGTTAAACACAATTTCTTTAGGTAGGCTCAGGTTTTCTGTTTTTGTTTTTGTTTTTAAACGTTACTTTTTCCAAATGAAACCTATCCTGGGCAAAACTCCCGCAGGAGAAGGAAATGATGACAATCAAAGCCCCACCAGTAAACCCAGCGGGGTAAACTCTTGCCTGGTTCTTGCCGACCGAAAGGTCGTTTGGTTTTGCCCTGAAAGCCCCAAGTCTGTCTAGAAGGCCCTCTGTCCCAGCCAGCCCAGACATCGTCGCCCTCCCCTGGCCTCTGGTCTCGGGCTCTGAGCCTGGCATGGTGGGGTCACACCACCCTTGGGGTGGGTCAGGACCTCGCTGAGACCTTGGGGAGGAGAAAAAAAAAAAAAAGGTGTACCTAGCCCTTTGTGTAGCTGGAGGTTAGAGTACAGCCAGGCCCCTGGGGCCCCTGTCTCAGAGAGGCCCCATGAGCCTGTCAGTGTCATGGTCATTCCTGTCTGATAGAGGCCAAAGGAGCCTGGGAGAGGACAGGGGGCTGAGGCCATGCAGAGTCAGGGCAGGGCTGAGACCGGAACACCGGTGCTCCGAACTCTTGTGTTAAAGAGATGGAGGCACAGGCCCACAGAGACGCAGAGAGTCTGGGAGATAGAGACAGAGACAAAGAGAGACACAGAGACGCAGGCATCAAAAGACTACGGAGAGACAGATGGGGATAGACACAGTCAGAGATAAGGAGAAAGGTGACGTGACGGCAGAGGCAGATGGAGAGAGACAGGGCATCTTGGGTTGGAAAAGTAACCCCCCCTTAACCCCCCCCCAGCTTTGGGGCCTCCGGGAGGGGCCGAGGCCTGGAAACGTGGGCGGGGGAGGGGCAGCCACTGCGGTGGAAAAAGGTGGAAGAATGTCTGCAACTCAGGCCGAGGATAAACAAACCGCACTCCGGGCGCCGGGTGGTGGCAGAAGGCACGTTTTCCTGCTCCAGCTTGGCAGAGCCTGAAGCAGGGACTCTGCATCTCCAAGGAGGAGCCCGAGGCCTCCAGAGGCCATGCCCTTTGCCCACAGTGCCTCTTCTCTACGCCCATGCCCCTCCCTTCTGCTACTCCGGGCCTCAGTTTCCCCACCAAAACAAGGAGGAATTCCAGACATCATGCCTTTGCCTTTGCTGTGCCCCCTGCCAGGTGTTCCCCTTGCCTACTCTCTCCCGGAAGCAGAGGACAGTGCTGGTCGTGTGTGGCCCGGAGCAGAACGGGGCCGTGGGGCTGGTCTGTGCACGGCACCTGCGGATGTTTGTGAGTAGCTAGGAGCCCCTTGGTCTCCCAGCGTCACCCCCTCAACCCTGTCCTGGCAGAAATTGCTTCCTTCTCTTGACAGTGTCTCTGGGGGACACTGAGGCTGGAGAGGTGACAGAATAAGCCCAGTGCTTGCCCCAGGCAGGGTCTTCTGCCTGGTATCCGGGTCTGGGGGCTAAGGCCCAGCAGGAAGCCTGGAAGGGCCCCCAGCACTGACTCCTTTCTGTGGCCCCCACGCCCCACCCCCCCAAATCAGGAGTACGAACCGACCATCTTCTACCCTACACGGTCACTGGATGGGCTGCACCAGGACCTGACCACTCAGTGTGAGAAGATGGACATCCCTTTTCTGTCCTATTTGCCCACGGAGGTCAGCGCTTGGTGGCAAATGATGGGGGGAAGGAGGGGATGGTGCCCAAAGGCTGCCCCCTAACTCCGCCTGCTCTCTCAGGTCCAGCTCATCAACGATGCCTACGGGCTGGTGGTGGACGCCGTGCTGGGCCCTGGCGTGCAGCCAGGAGAGATCGGGGGCCCCTGCACACGGGCGCTGGCCACACTCAAGCTGCTGTCCATCCCCCTTGTGAGCCTGGACATTCCCTCAGGCATGCCAGGCAGGAAGGGGGGGGTCTGTGGGGGGCTTGGGTGGGGGCCCTCTGCACCCCAGCTTCTGGTGGCCCCAGCCTGTCTCGGAGCCTCAGTTTCGCTTGCATGGATGGCTCCTGCACTCTGGGTGAGGGTCATGCCCATCCCTCAGATAGGGAAGACCGAGGCTGCTGCCCAGGTGATCCCCTGTCCCATCCTCCCCCCCACCCAGCCCAGCATGCCCGCTGCCCACCCTGGCCCAGTTGCCTGGGCAGACGTGAGCTCACTCGGCAAAGGCCTCGCCCATCCTGGCCGCCGCCCCATGCCTGTTGGAGCCATTAGGCGACGGGCAGACGGAACAAACAGCTGCTGGCCAGCCGGACCCTCCACGGGGGTGGCCACACTCAGGGGATGTCCCCCAGCTTGCAAGACCTCAGGGCCATCCCATCAGGGTGCCAAAGAGTGGGGGCTTAGCTACAAAGAGATGGGCTGTCTGGTCTGAGGGTGGGGACTAGGGTCACAGAAGGAAGAATTAAAGTCAGAGGGAGGAGGCTTTTAGTTAGTGGCTCCAGACTCTGATCACAAGCAGAGCAGAAGGCAAGGCCCCTAGTCTGAAGGAAGAGGCTCATTTGAGAGGCAGTAGAGACTGGGGCACAGTGAAGGAGGAGGTGGGGTCCTGTCAAAAGGCAAGAGCTAGTCTGAGGGCGAAGACAGAGATGTCAGAGGGAAGAGTCTCTAATCAGAAGGAGGATGATGAACACTCGGGCCACATTCTGTCAGAGACAAGGACCAAGAGTAAGGGGACAGACCTTACGGGGGAGGCCTGCCTAAGGATGGAGGCAAGTCTGTCCTCTGCCTGGAGAATGGGGATCTGTTAGAGGGGGAAGGCTGGCTAGGAAGCCCCAAAGGAAAGAGCCTCTAGCCTAAGTGGGGAAGCTCAAGACTGATAGGGGGTAATGGGGACAGATGCTGCGTCAGAAGGCAGAGGCATGGGTCTGACTGGGAAAGGGCAGCAAGTGGAAATGATGGACTCTAAAGGCAGAGGCTGAGTCAGATAGAGAAGAAAAAAATTAGTAGCATGAGGGGAGCACGGGCAGAAAAGTATGAGGGCAGACGATCTGGTCAGAGGAGGAGGGAAACATCTCCAAGGAGAGGGAGACACTGGTCTGAGAGCGGAGGCCCAGTTCTGTGGGGAGGCAGGTCTGACCAAGACGCACGTGTCATAGAGCAGAGGCTCGATCTGATGGGGAAGGAGAAGTGGGTGGTGAGCAGGCAAGTCTGAAGGCAAGCACCCCTCCCAGCGCCCGATTCCCTCCCCTCCCGCCCCTCTTCCCTCAGGCTGGGACGCGGAGACCGGCGGCGGCGACACCGAAGATGGGCTCCGGCCCGACGTGCTGGTATCGCTCGCCGCGCCCAAGCCCTGTGCCGGCCGTTTCTCCGGCCGCCACCACTTCGTGGCCGGCAGGTTCGTGCCCGACGACGTGCGCCGAAAGTTCGCTCTGCGCCTGCCGGGATACACGGGCACCGACTGCGTCGCGGCGCTGTGACCGCGCCCGCACCCAGGCGGCTTGGACCCGCGCCAATAAACAGACGTCCCACCACCACCTCGCCTCCTTCTTCTTTGTGCGCCGGGTTCGCCGCCCGGGGGGCAGCCTCGGGAAGGGAACTGCCCCCGTCCCGCAGAGCGCAGGCCGAGGGACGGAGGGTAGTCGTCAAGGGGGACTTCCCCGTTGGCCGAGAAAACTAGCCCCAGAAGAGTAGAGGGTAGATTCAGGGTGGGACTTCCAGCCCCCTCGGGGTGGCCTAACGCCAACGGGGTTGAAGTTAGACCCGATGGAGGATTTCTCGCCGCCTAAAGGGCTGCCTAAAGCGTGAGTGTTTGGGCAGCTTCAGGCTCGAGTCCAGGAGAGGCACGTCCCACAGGCAGCTTGGGACCCAAGGTGGAGAATGGAGTGGGTTGAGGGAGGGACTTCCAGCTGGCGACGGGGGTGCGGGGGGAATGCAGGCCAGCCTGAGGGCGGAGGCACACCCGGACGCACCGAAGGGGGCGACCCGGAGAGGTTGCTAGCGCACCGAAGTCACCCAGGGCCAGGGAGCTTGGCTCGGGCGGGGCGGGGCCTGGACGGGGCGTGGCCTGCAGTCCCCTCCCGCCCCCACCCTCAGCCCCTGTGGCTGCCCGACCCGCGGGAGTCAGATCCGCGCGCGCGGCGGAGCCCGGACCCTCCCTCGGACGCTCGGACCCGGCCATGGCATCACTGCCGCCACTACTCTGTCTCTTTGTCGCCGCCGCGCACCTGGCGGGGGCTCGAGGTGAGGCGCCCCTTGACCCCAGCCCAGACCCCTAGGCACCCTGGCAGCCCGCCTGGCTTGCAGCCGCTTCCGGAGCAGAACCGGGGGATCCGCTCGCATCCGCAGGCCCGGGTCCCCCTGGAGTGAGGGGGCATCGGGGAGATGGTCCCTTGGGGAGGGGAGGAAACCTCTCTGTTCTTTTCCCTCCTCAAAGAGAAGGAGGGGCACTTGGAATATGGATATGAACCTTGGGTTTCCCCTGGCTTCCCCGGGGACCCCAGGGGGCCTGTCTCAGCGCTAGCATTTGGATTCTGAAGCACTCGATACTGGCCCAGGATTAAGGGGCCTGAGCCGTCCCCCTCACATAACTCCTCTCCTCCTCCACATACACACACACCATTCAGAAAAACTCCCACCTCTGGAACACCCAGTGGAGAGGGCACTGGATCCATTTCTCAGATGAGGAGACTGAGACACAGACAGGGAAAGGACTTGTCTGAGGTCATCGTCCAGCCTGGCTATCTTAGATAACTCAAGGTCAGAGACGCCAGGTTGGATTCCAAAGACTTCCCAATGCCAGCTGGGGCCCCAAGTGAAGGGATGGAAGGCACACGGAGGGAGGGACTTCCAGCCAGCAAATGGATGAAGGGGAATGCAGAGTCACCACCAACTGAGCTCATAGCCACTGAGTACACTCAGGGAGAACTGGGTCTGGGGAGCAGGGCAGATGCACAGATTTCCCCAGTCCATGCCATCTGGGCCAGGGCAGAGAGAGGGATGGGGCTGCAGAAGATTGGGGGTAGGGGTCACAGGGAGGCTTCGCCTGGAAGGGGAGGGGGAGGTCCTGCATTCCTTGGGGTCAGCCAGAGTTAGCTTCTGGCTTCTCGGAGCCTCGGTTTTCTTTCCTGTGAAATGGGGATGATCATGAGAGCACCTTGCACAGAAGCAGATCACAGAAGTCTCCATCAGCATGCTTTCTTCCCCCTTCACACTCCTCACCCTATCCACAGTCACCAACCCCCCCGAGGAGCCCACAGCAGCTGCCTGGGGCTTTGAAGGTCCATCACTGCGCCCTGGACAGTCCTCACCAGCCCTGGAGGACTGGGAAGGTGAGTCATCCCGGGTCCAAGTCCTGACTCTGCTGTGGACTTACTGTGCGAGCTCTGGCTGGTGGGGTCATGTGAGGACGGGACACAAGAGGTAGAAGGGCCCCGTACCATCCTGGTCCCCAGACATGGTGGCCCCTGGCATAGGTGTCCCAAGAGGTCTAAATTTTGGAAGCAGAGGGGTGAGAGTTCAGGCTGTTTGTCAAGGAGGAAACCAATGGAGGGTGTGTGTAGGGGGGCGCCTCCTCCCCCCCTACTGGAAGCAGCATGCAGGATGCTTCCAGTGGATTCCAGACCTCTAGTTCTGGAACCTGGGTCTCTAGTTTCCTAGCTGGGAAATTCACTCTCAATTCAGGAAAGGAGTGAGCACCCCCTAGTGGTGGTGGTGGGGAGAGGTTTGATGGAAGCGGAATCTGAGCTCTGGGAGGCCAGGCCCTTCCCACCTGTGGCTTCTGTGAAACAGAGGTTGCCTGGTGGGTTTCCCCAGCAGTGAGCAAGGGCCCAGCTGGCTCTAACCTGGAGTGGCCAAGGCGATGAAAAGCCACAGCTAGGGCTGGTCTCAGGCCCAACTCCTCCTGCTGCCCTTGTACCTCCTCACACCTCAGGGGTTCTGAATTCTGAGATGGGGGCAGCCTCAATTCTAAGGTTGGGGACTGGTGAGACAGTGGCAAGATGTCAGCGTGGCAAAATGTCAGCCTGCACCGATGGGCAAGCTCAAGAATTGGGCAGCAGAAGTGGGGCTGGTGCTAGGGGAGGCCAAACCCCCACTCCCGCCCCCCGGGATCCCTTTATAACTCCTTCTGCCCGAGTACCCTGGATCTGGGCGAGGTCATGGGCGGGCTGCGTCAGCCCGTGCGCATTGGGCGTGGGGTGACCATTTTAGACAGAGGGTAAGGCCCTTACCTGGGAGATGGGGGTGGATAGGCAGCTTCCCGGGCCCCTGCATGCACTGATGGGGCCCGACAGGCTGCGGCCCGGGTCCCAGCGCATGCGGTTCCCGCAGAGGCCAGCGAGTGGACGTCCTGGTTCAACGTGGACCACCCCGGCGGCGATGGCGACTTCGAGAGCCTGGCTGCCATCCGCTTCTATTACGGACCAGCGCGCGTGTGCCCGCGGCCGCTGGCGCTAGAGGCGCGCACCACGGACTGGGCCCTGCCATCCACTGTAGGCGAGCGCGTGCACTTGAACCCCACGCGAGGTTTTTGGTGCCTCAACCGTGAGCAGCCCCGCGGCCGCCGCTGCTCCAACTACCATGTGCGCTTCCGCTGCCCTCTCGGTGAGGGCGGGGTCTGGGGGCGGGGCCTGCGAGGGAACGGGCGGGGCTAGGGAGAGGGCGGGCTCGCGATCAGTCATGCTGAGGAGAGAGTGGGGATTGGCCGGGATAGACCATAGGTGGGTGGAGCCTGAATGGATGATACCGGAGGAAGGGGCAGGGCGGGGGGGGGGGGGGGGGCGTGGTTAGGAAGAGGCCTCAGGAGCAGGCAAAATCAGATAGGGGCAGGGCTTTCGAAGGGAGGGCCTGCCAATAGGGGCCCAGGTGGGGCACAGGAGGGATCCCCCAGGAGCCCGTCTCCCTCCTGCTGCCCTCATTTGTTCATCTGTCACTCCGTTCTGTGGGGGCGTGTTTTGGCCCCAACTATGTGAGAGATTCAGGGAGAACAGCAGGGCTAACTTCAGGGAGCTCATCTGGGGTTGGGGGAAGTGGGGCGGTGCCTCAACCGCGCCTTCAACAGGTGCGCCTGGGGAACAACTGATGGGGGCAGTGGGCAGGGCCTCTGTCTGGGGTATACCCACCCTCGGATGAACATGGTGAGGGCACCCTCCAGTCCCACATTGTTACCAGATTTCCAAAGAGGCGCAGTCCCTGGGGTGGGCGGCCGCCTCATCTTTCCCCCTCTCCGCCCTTACCGCAGAGGCCACGTGGGGCGCGTGGGGCCCGTGGGGTCCCTGTTCAGGGAGCTGCGGGCCAGGGCGTCGCTTGCGCCGCCGTCGCTGCCCAAGCCCGGCTGGGGATGCGTGTCCGGGGCGTCCCGTGGAGGCTCAGAAGTGTGTAAGGCCTACATGTCCAGGTAGGAGGGATGGGGCCTGGAGGAAAGTGTTGAGTTAGAGGCGGGGGCTGGATGCGGCCAGTTTTGAAGGGTACTTGGGGGGCAGAGGCAGGTTGGGATGGAGCCTGATGGGGCAGAGGGGTGGAAGGGAAGAGGTGGGTCCTGGAGGGCCAGAACTTGGACCACATGGAGACTGGCCCTTCTTTTCCTTCTGGGGTCCCGAGGAGCATTGGTGAATGTGTACATCTGGATGGGTGGATGCCTTGAGGGTCGCGTCCAGGCGTGTGTGGATCCAGTGGGCATTACCTTGGGTGCACCACTGAGTGTCTGTATGGCCTCATGGATGCGGACACACACAGAAGCTGGCTCACGGATTTGGGGTGCACACGCGTTGCATTCACAGCCCCCACCGGCCCCGACGCCTACGCAGACACGCGCTCACACCCTGGCAGACACCATGCCCAAGCCCTCCCAGGGCCAGACACCAGGCCAGCCAGGAGGCGACTGGAAATTCCAATCCGCCTGGGCTCCACAAACACGGTCTGGAGACTGCACCCGCAGAGCCCATGGCAGGGTGGGGGAGCACGGTGGCCAATGGGGTAGTGGGGTCCCCACCCTACCCCGCCTGGCTCTGCCCTCCTGACGCCTCTACCCTGAAGTTTCCAGCGGAATTTTCCATTTTATGGAGAAACCGCAGGATTGGGAGGGGAGGGAGATGTTCTGAGCCCAAGACCCAACCCCTAAATGGGCCCCCAGCCCCTACTGGACATTTTCTCTCCTGCTGGAAGGAGCCTCTCTGTCTTGTGAGAGTCACCTCTCCTGTCCCCTCCTCCAGGGCATTTTCCCTATTCCTCAGACCACAGGTCCCTCCCTCTGCCCCGGTTCTGACTACTCAACCACATATCCCCACTCACACTAAGGGTTGTTCCAAGCAGGGCCATGCTGAGGCCTCTGAGGGGCACAAAGGGGAGTGTCTTGGCATCTTTGCTGAGTGACTGAGTGGAAGGCCTGCCCCAGGAGGGAGTGAAGAGCCTCCCCTGTCCCTCTGCTTCCCTGTGTCCCCCAGGGTGCAGCTCCAAGACCTGCAGGTGCCCTGAGCACATCCTTCTGGGCTTGGTGGTCACCCCATCTGGGCGTCCGCTGCCAGGAGCCAGGGTCT